TTGATAAGTCGGATCTCTTGATAAGTCGGACACCATGTCCAGCCATTTGTGTCCGACTTATTGAGTTTACCTATGTACAACAACAAAATGTCGCAACTAAATTACAACAAAATGTCGCAATTAAATTACAACAAAATGTCGTAATTAATTACAAAAAAAAATCAATAGATAAATAATTAATGTGTACACGTCAATCAAATCAAACTACTTCTTTTAAAAAAAAAATGTCATCAAGACCAACTGGTAAACGAGGTAAAGATGATGAAAAAGGACAACACGAGTAAGTGTTTTAAGGATGGTGGTGGTGGTCGCCACTCGTTGTTACTCTAGTTAGTTATTAAAAAAGAATGATGGTGGTTGCATCGTTGCAACTCGTTACTCTAATTTAAAAAAAAGGCGGTTATTGCCACTTGTCATAATTTTTACTATAATATTAATAAAAAAAATTTACATCATATCCAAAGAGCGAAAAGAAAAGAAAAGCCCCAAAAAGAAGAAGAAGAATCGACTGAGGAAGAGTAAGTATCATTACTTTTGAAAAGAAAAAAATCATCATTCTATATAGTTAGAGAAAAAGAAATGGTATTGTTGTCATTCTAGTTAATTATTATAATTGTTATTGCTTTTAATTCATTTAGAACCAGCATTTTTAGTCATCTCTGGAACGTTTCTGCTACTCAAAGTTTACTTTTTGATGGAGAATGCCTTGGAAATTATGAGGGACAAGAAATAGATTCGGTGTTATATCTTGAAGAAACCGAAGATGAGATTGCTGATCTAACATTTCATCAAAGTTCTGATGACTGGGAAAATTGGACGCTAAAATCGGGTACAATTGTAAAAGATCTTTTGAAAGATGCATCCAAAAAACAAGGACATCCACTCAGGTAAATCATTAAACAAAATATTAGGATTCTATATATTTGTCAATTAAATTTTTTTTGCGATAATATATTTATTATTTAAACCCACTTTAGACCAGAGGTCTGGGGAATTCTTCGATGCGATTATAAAATTGCTAAACCAGACTGGTGCTAAAAAAACAACTATCTCGAAATCCAAAGTAGCGCCAAGTATCAAACCAAAATAATTCCATCAGAGATTGTATTGAGTTTGTTAAAACAAGTAAAGAAACTTTTCCCTTTCTATCTTATGTTTGTCCTTTTGCCACATTAAGAACCTAGCTATTACTAACTAAGGTATTATTGTATTTGTTTAATACAGAAAGATACTTTATCTTTGGTTGAATTATTGGATGAAATAAAATTAGTTGAATTAATCAAAAATATGAAAACGATAACAAATGATCCAAGAAAAGATCATTTAAAAGAATTGGAAAAATTAAGCCTGATTTCACAACCAATTGATCATTTTACAAAATTTTTCGTGAGAATTGCATCTTGGTTGTAAGTGTCCGATTAAACTTCTATTTGTCTTAACAATTGTAAATCTAATAATTAAACAAATTTCTTACTATTTGTAGCTCAGAACATGTATTTCCTGAAAAATCTGTAATGCAAGACCCGGGTATATCTGAAGCATGTTATTCAACATATATCATTGATCCTTGCATATTAATTCTTCTCGCAAATTTTCACGATATAAACCGTGAGTATTAATCAAGCTTGATTTGTATAGTCTTTTTTTTTTTTTTTGATGTTTTGATGTATTATTTTTATTTTACTTACTTATTTTTTTCTTTAAGTGGTGAAATTGTTTTGTCATCCATTGTGTCATGTCGAGAAAGACGCAAGTCTGCCAGTTCATTTGAGCAAAAGGCAGATGGTGCCTTTTTTGTGCGTTTGAAGAAATCTTTAGTTGAAATTGGACATTTGGAGATGAGCGGCGGTTACAATCATAAAGAAGCTCTCAGAGCAACATGGGATGGTTGCTGCAAAGGTCCAATAGGTAATGCATACATGCTCGAAGAAATTGGAGAACGTTATAAGAAAGCATCCCCTAAGTCGTTTGCAAAAACAAGAGTTTTTTTTTTACATACATATGGTGAGTGTTTGCTTATAAAAGTTTGCTTGGTTTTGTTTGTGAAATAATTTATTTATTAATAATTCATTATTTAAATCACAGAAAATCGTATAGAACTGTGGCAGATGTATAATCGTACTCGTGAAGTGTTACAATACGAAAGAACTCATGGAGCAGTGGTTCCTATTTGCTTCGAAGAACATAAAAAATATTTATTTGATTTTGCAATCTTACTATGGGATTTCAAGGTACATTTTTTTGATATTCTATCCTCATTTAAGCCTTATTTTGTCTAATATATATTTTTATTTCTCAGGGAGCTTTAATGAATACAGTTGAAATGATTTATCAGCTAAGGTTTCTGGTCGAAACTGCTTCTATTAGTAGCCGAAATTGCCCAAATACTTTGGGCAAAAATTATTTTTT